AATCCGATCAATTTTTAAAAAAGTCATCCGCCATATTGGATCCGCCATTTTGAATTTTTAAAAACTAACATCGGATTTATAATCAGCGACCCTAAAAACCTCCGAGTAACGATTTTCAAGCAAATCCGATCATTTTTTAAAAAAGTCATCCGCCATATTGGATCCGCTATTTTGAATTTTTAAAAACTAACATCGGATTTGTAATGAGCGATCCCAATAACTCCCGAGTAACGATTTTCAAGCAAATCCGATCAATTTTTAAAAAAGTCATCCGCCATATTGGATCCGCCATTTTGAATTTTCAAAAACTAACATCGGATTCGTAATCAGCGACCCCAATAACCTCCGAGTAACGAGTTTCATTTCATTAAAACGTTCACAAGTATCAAAATCAACTTGCTAAACTTCAAGTCGTTTTTCTCGAAATTTTTTTTTCGGATCGTAGGTCCCTCTTAACTGTCCGTGTCATATATATATATATATATATATATATATTTGTTTTGTTATATTTTTTTCTGTTAATAAATAATAATTATAATTATAGTATAACTATAATTCTAATAAAACATCATCTTTATACGAATGTTAAATAATATTATCCTCATTCCTAACATATCCTCAAATTTTTTTTCTGCATTTTGCATTTCTTTTATTTGAACGCTTTAAAATTTCAAATTATTTAAGAATAAATTATATTTTAATACTTATCTGCAAAAATGTATTATTTTAGAATTTCCGAGCCGAGCCGAAATTTTTACGAGCCAAGCCGAGCCCAAGCCGGCTCGATGTATCGAGTACTCGAAATTTTCGAGTACTCGAAAAATTCGAGTACTCGGGTTAATTTGAGTACTCGAGTGAAATTGAGTACTCGAATGCACTCGAGTACTCGAAACGGTCGAGTACTTGAAAAAATTCGAGTGCTCGAAATTATTTGAGCTTTTTACACAGCTCGCCTCGAACTCGGCTCAAGCTCGAACTGATTAGGCTCGGCTTGGCTCGGCTCGAAAACTAAAAGCTCGGAAAAGCTTGATCGAGCCTTGAGCTTCGAGCTTTTTGCACATCTCTAATTGTTTTACATTATGGCTTTAAAAGTATTTAGAATTTTACAAATTTTCGTGTCAATCACTTTCATATTTTCGAAAGGAAAAAAAATATTAATAAAAACATTTTTCGAGTTGCTCTTTCATACACAAAAGTCAAAAATAATTTCTATTTATAGGTTTTTTGGTTATTATTGAGCTTGTTGCTCATTTTTAATTTAGTTTTCGGTTTTATTTGATTTATATTGATCTCATAAATTTTCTTACTCTAATTACTCCTTAATTATTTACAAATTCTCAGACAAAATTTTATTATTCTTAAACTATCAAATATATTATATAATATTATTTTTAGCTTTTATAAAGCTCAAATTGTTATTATAGATCGTAATTAAATATAAAAGATTGGTTTAAAATATCTAATTGGTGTTAAAAAAAACGAAATATGTCATTACCTAATTCCAAAAATAAATTAAGGTATTAAAACGAGTGTTTTATTCGTTTCTATTAGTAAGATGTCTTTACTAACTAATTAAATTTACTTTACTAACTAAACTAAGCATTAAAAATTAACTTTTTTCATTAAAATCACAAAATTTGCAACTGTTACAACTAACGTCGACATGTGTTACAACTCACCTATTGGTACTAGGTGAGTTGTAACACTAGGAACTGTTTTGGATTTTGCAATTTTTTCGTAAACCCTTACAACTTTTTACATTTTTCATTTTTTAATCACATACTACACAAAACTACCCATCCAAAAATACAAAGTTCATAAAAATAAGACAATTTTTGTCTGAGTTATACTGGATAACGTAAAAATCGTTTCAACTCACCTCGGTCTCCCCTACGCCTTAATAAATAGTTATTATTTATAAAATATTCCTCTTCTTAATTAAATCATATTAATTAATTAATTTAATTTAAAAATTAAATAATAGGGCAATTACAGTAATTGCGTATTAGATTTTCAAATTTTAGTACTTAATGATTGGAATTTAGAAATAACGGAACTATGAAAATAAACAAAATTGCGCACGAGAGGAATCGAAAGTGCGATAGAGAGCATACTCAGTATAATAACTCAGTATAATAATTTTAAGAGGAAATTATTTTATTAACAATTGAAAGTGGAGTAATTTGCGGTTGAAACATTTTTTAGTTCAGTCGCAGCCACTAGCTCAAATTGGCGCCACCTTCTTGATTACTGACCATAGATCCACTTGTCTGTGTGTTCGCCGCCATATTGTCCGTCACTTTCGCCAAAAATGCAACTTTTTAACTTTCTTTTTCAAGACTTATTTCCAAAATTACTTGCAAATTTCAAGAATATTCTTTATCAGCACGAATTAGCCTAATTATCCTGATAAATCCGAACGAAATACCTCAAATTATTTAGGAGTTAGACGACACGCGGGAAACAACTTATTACGAGGAATATTTCCCACATGCCTTTAATAATAATTTAACGCAATTTTCTAATTTTGTGTCAATCACGAAACCATTTTTTCTCCCACCTACCCTGACCCAGTGAGAAATTTCTTACAAGTCCAATATCGGTCCAATATTGGGAGCCAAGAGACCAATCATCGGTCCAATAAAGGCTCCCAATATTGGACCAATATGGGCTGATGCTTGGGATGTAACGGGTTCGCCAAGCATCGGTTGTTAATATTGGTCCAATATTGGCCGAATATTGGCAACCAAGAGAAAAAAATTTTTTAAATAAATTTTTTTAATTAAATAATAATAATAAAAAATTAATGTTTATAATTTTTGTTTAATATATTTATTTGTTTAATTATTTACTTTTAATAATTCATGTAAATAATAAATAATTTATTATTTATAAATTATAATTATTTAAAAATTCAGCAACTATTAGGAAATAATCGAAATAGCATTCTGCAAAAAAATTCTATCATTGAAAAATCAATGATAGGCGACAGATATCCGTGAACAACACTATCAATTCACTTTTGTTTGTTTAGTTTGTTTTCACAGTTTTATAAAAAGTTTATTTTTGATAGTTATTTATTGATAGGTTGACGAAAGGATTAGCAATGATAAGATTCACTTCACATTAAAGTTTAATATATTTCACAATTTAATAATTCGAAAGTAATACAAATATTTATTCAATTTACAGTTAATGTTTAAATTTCAATGAAAAGCACTCCACATGTTTTCCTTAAAATCACAATAATTAATTAATAAAGTTTAAATTAAAAGCTTGTTGTTTCGTGTGCGAAGTTATATCGAGTACTGATAATATTTTCTTTCTTATTTTCTGGCTTCGTCTATGATTCATTCACACCTCGATAATTAGAATTTAATTGCCCTCACACATTCGTCAATTTATAATAATATACATTTTGGTCTCTCAATTTATTATTCGCATTGCGACATACTGCCCCCCTTGAATATTTATGTTCAAATAATATTTTTTACAATTCTTCTATGGGGAGAGGAGAAACTCTTTTCAAACCTCGTGTAAAAATTCCGTTTTTTGTTTGTACTTGAATGACTCTAATTATTCCATCTGCTCCTGGATGCACCTCGACTACCTTTCCCAGACTCCAACGCAGAGGTGGCAAGTTGTCATCCCTGATCACAACTAAAGTACCAATTTTTATTAATTCACTGGAACCTGTGTGCCACTTGGATTTCACGTTCATCTCGTTTAAGTACTCGTGACTCCATCGTTTCCACAGGTCTGTTTTCATTTTTTGAATGTGTTGCCAACTTGACAATCTGCCTGTCGGAGTCTGTGAATGGTCCACAGATGGAATAGTTTTTAATGCTTCGCCAATCAAAAAATGACCCGGAGTTAATACCCGAATATCATTTGGATCATTTGTCATGGGAGTTAATGGTCGAGAATTTAAGAGCGCATCCACCTCACACATGTATGTGTATAGTTCTTCATATATGTGAAAAGTGTCTCTCCTACTGTTCGGCGAAGATGAGTTTTGAGCGACTTTACAGCCGCTTCCCAAATTCCACCAAAGTGTGGAGTTCGAGGGGGAGAAAAATTCCAATCAATATTTTCATTAGCTAATTTTTGTTTTATTTTTTAATTATGTTCATTATTATTTAGCAGGCTGTAAAGTTCGCTCAACTCATTCTTTGCTCCTACGAAGTTCGTCCCATTATCTGAGTAGATTTTCTTTGACATTCCCCTTCTAGCAAAAAATCGTCGCAAGCATGCCAAGAACAATTCTGTCGTTAACCCTCCCACCAATTCTATATGAATTGCTTTTGTACATAAACACACAAACACTGCAGAATATACTTTGATTTTAATACTATTTCTCACTCGTTTTTCTTTTACATAGGATGGCCCGCAGTAATCAATGCCACAATTTTCGAACGGGCGAGTAGGTGTCACTCGAACTTTTGGCAAATCACCCATTACATATTTTATCTCATTTGGATTTTCACGAAAACAATTTATACAAGAATGGACAATTTTGCGTACCTCTAATCTACCGTTGATTGGCCAAAATTTTTCTCTTATTGCATACAATGTAGAATTCACACCAGCGTGCATATATTTTTCGTGAGTGTGTCGGATAATCAATTTAGTGACAGGATGCCTTTTTGGGTTTAGGATTGGGTGTTGCTGATCATAGAGAATTTCTGAGTTTTTTATTCTACCTCCTACTCGAAGTTATCAATTATCAATAAATGGACTCAACTTTAATAATTTTGAACGACCTTGAATATTTTTTCCTCTCGTCAGATCACGAAATTCATTACCGAATTCTTCCTTTTGGATGAGTATGATGATTCGATCAAATGCTTCTTGCAATTCCACAGAAGACAGCTGCGCAGTATATTTTTTTCCTTTAATTTCTCCTCCAATTCTTAAACAATAAGCTATTACTCGAGTCAGTTTCGTCAATGATGAGAATTTGTTCCACAATTCCGAGTTTCTCTGCTTTGTTATTGTTGTCAGCACGATGTTTTTTTTTGTTCAGGAGGATCAAATTGTTCCAAAGTGTAATTAGGCCAAAATTCTTCTGATTGTGATAACCATTTTGGACCTTCTTTCCACATTTGATTATTGATGAAGTCTGCAGGCATTTGTCCCCGAGAAATGAAGTCAGCTGGATTATCCCCCGAAGATACGTGTCCCCACATATCAGCTGATGTTGATCCATGAATCTCGGCTATTCGATTTGCGACAAATGTGTTGAACTTATGCGGAGGGGAATTTATCCAGTTCAGCACAATTGTCGAGTCTGACCAAAGTCGTACCTGATCCACTTTACATTTAAGTGACTCCTTTACTGTCTTAAGTACTGTCGTCAACAATACTGCTGCGCACAACTCAAGCCTAGGTAGCGTGACTATCTTCACTGGAGCTACTCGTGATTTTGCGTATAAGAGAATGCATTGGTGATTGTTTCCTTTTGATGATCGGATATAGACGCAAGCGCCATAAGCTTTTTCGCTTGCATCCGCGAAACCGTGGATCTGTGTGTCCTCTGCATCCATGATTCTTGCAGCTCTCGGCAACTCCCACTCGTTGATCAACTGCAATTGTTCACGATATGCATTATATGGGTCTAGTATTTCTGGTGGCACAGGATCATCCCAGGATTGTCCAATCTTCCATAAATCTTGCATCCTTATTTTTGCATATGTTACTACTGGAGCAACGAGACCGAGTGGATCATAAAGTTTTGCGATTTGAGACAGCATCACTCTTTTTGATGTAATTGGAACTTCCTGTTGATCTGCTACCTCAAATAATAATGCATCTTTTTTAGAGTCCCATTTCACACCCAGAGTTTTAGATATTGATTCAGCATTCAAGGTCAAGGTTGGTTCCACACTTCTTGCTGATGATGATATTCCCTCAATGATTTCTGGTACATTCGATTTCCATTTGCGTAGACTGAGTCCTCCTTTAGAAGTCAATCGTATGATGTCATGACATAACTGTTGAGCTTTTTCTATGGAATCAGCTCCTGACAGCATGTCGTCCACGTAAAAATCATTTTCAAGGATTTGAGCAGCATCAGGAAAATCATCACCCTCATTTGCAGCTAATTCCTGGAGACATCGGGTCGCCAAAAATGGTGCAGCCGAAGTACCATATGTAACTGTCTTAAGTTGGAATGTCCTAAGAGGTGAATCACTATCATACCGCCACAATATCTTTTGATATTTCCTATCGTCTTCGTGTATCCAGAATTGCCGGTACATTTTTTGGATATCTGCACTAAATGCAATTGGATGTTGTCTGAAACGAATCAACAATGTCACGAGCCCATCCTGAATTGTTGCACCTACCATCAAAATATCATTGAGTGATGTTCCACTGGTTGTTTTGGAGGAACCATCAAACACCACTCTAAATAATTTAATAAAATCATCCTCACTAATCACCGCCTGATGTGGTATGTAGTAACCTTCATCCCTTCCACTGTACGTTGGTTCCAAGTGTTCTAACTCCTGATATTCCCTGATGAATTGGTCGTATTGTTCCTTCAATTTAATATTTTTCTGAAGTCGTCTTTCTAACATAAAAAATCGTTTTCTCGCTATTTCATAAGAATCTCCCAATTCATTTTTCCGCTGATTAAAAGGTAGTCGAACGATGTATTTTCCCTCATTATCCCGTTGTGTGTTTTGGTTGAAATGTTGTTCAGACTCAGCTTCTTCTTTTGTTATATGCTTAATTGATTTACCCTCTTTGATTTCCCAAAATTTATTTAACTGGAGCAAAATTGGATCTCTAACAAGATTACATTTTATACTTTGTATAAACTTATTTTCGTTCATTTTCTCAATCACAATCCACCCTAATCTGGAACTTTGTAATGATGTATGTGGCATTGCGAGAGAAATTTTACTGTTTCCTAATAATTCATAAAAAAGTTCTGCTCCAATTAAAATGTCGACTGTTTTTGGTAAGTGAAATTCTGGGTCAGCTAATTTAAGATAGTGAGGAATTTTTAGTGTTTCTTTGTTTATAGGACAAGTTGGAATATGGCCAGTAATTTTCGGAAGAACTAGGAAGGAAAGTCTAGTTACATAATTTGCACACTTATTGTTAATTTTAAAAAATCTGGACATTTATGAATAACGTGACTATTGTTTTTACATAATATACAATATACATTATATTGAGTATTTAAAAAAGATTTACTACTAATGATCCTTTTATCATGATTAATTTGAGGTTTATTATTTCCTTTTAAATTGTTTTTGTTTACATTATTGGCGACAGGATTCAAGGTCTCCAAAATTTGACATTTTTCCTGCAAAAATGCAGTCAGACTATCGAACGTAGGCATTTCACTGCCCTTCACTGAACGTTCCCACTCTCTGCGCGAATCTTTATCAAGTTTATTAGTTAATAAACAAATCAAAGGAGTATCCCATTTTTCAGTGGGTTGACCGAGAACATTTAGAGCACGAGTGTGTCTTAATATTGAGTCAAGAAAATTTCGCAAACATGACGGTGACTCTCTGCTTGGAACCGGCAATTCAAACAGAGCCGTCATGTGAGTTTGAATTATTATTCGTTTGTTATTAAATCGTTCGTCTAACAATTTCCACGCTGCAACATATCCCGATTCAGAAATCTCAATATTTTCGACCACTCGCGCTGCGTTATCTTTTAAATACGATTTCAAATATCTAAATTTTTGAACGTTTGGAATATTTGGTTCGTTATGAATAATGGCAGAAAATGTGTCTTTAAAACCCAGCCACTCTTCATAACCCCCCGAAAAAGTTGGAAGGTCCAGTTTAGGCAATGGAAAATGCCTTCTAATACTACTTTGCTCGCTATCAGTATTTGTGTTCCTAGACGTTGACATTTCCCTCAATCGTATAATTTCCAATTCTCTCTGATTTCTAAGATCCGCCTCTAACTGTGCGATTTAAGCTCGTTGTCGTTGGACTTCGTCATTTTCCGCGATCGAGCTACGAGCTATGGTGATAGAATGTTCGTTTATAAGTCGATTAGCAATAGCGGTATATTTGTAAAAAGTATTTTCAAATTCTAATCTTTCACCTTCGTGGTTCGGTCCCGGAGCTTCTACTTCTAATCTTAATTGAGCTTTATCATAATCTGACCACATCTCTTCTATTTTTTTAATCTAACCTGAACTTCTTCAATATTATAATTGTTATCAGTTAAACATTTTTCTAAAAATGTATGAAACTTCGTTAATTTCGATTTACAATTAGTTCTCATTTGACGAGGTCTATCAATTTCATTTTGATCCATGATTATTAAATATAATATAAATTATTTCAAAATACAAATTTTCAAATTTAATTATCGTCAAATTCTATAAAAGTTTTCGTTTACAAATGTATATAATAGATTTTCTTGTTTATTAATTGTTTTCAAAATACAAATTATCAATAGAAACTACCTTGATTGTTGATGACTGCTGAATCACCAAGAATTTTAGAGTGATAATTTCTTAATTTTGTACCTGTTGAGACCTCGTAATTTTGTTTCTTCTCCCTTGGTACGAAATGAGACCTTTTTTGTGTATATTTCGCTGCACGTTTGCGTTGAAATCCTATCGTAGAATGATGAGAATGTCCAATATAATTTTTGATTTTTTTTCAACAGTCAATTATTGTAAATTTTGTATATTTATGTATAGTTTGAGTACTCGATATTCACATATTTCAAATTTCACTTATCCGGCTCGAAGGACCATGAACAACACTATCAATTCACTTTTGTTTGTTTAGTTTGTTTTCACAGTTTTATAAAAAGTTTATTTTTGATAGTTATTTATTGATAGGTTGACGAAAGGATTAGCAATGATAAGATTCACTTCACATTAAAGTTTAATATATTTCACAATTTAATAATTCGAAAGTAATACAAATATTTATTCAATTTACAGTTAATGTTTAAATTTCAATGAAAAGCACTCCACATGTTTTCCTTAAAATCACAATAATTAATTAATAAAGTTTAAATTAAAAGCCTGTTGTTTCGTGTGCGAAGTTATATCGAGTACTGATAATATTTTCTTTCTTATTTTCTGGCTTCGTCTATGATTCATTCACACCTCGATAATTAGATTTTAATTGCCCTCACACATTCGTCAATTTATAATAATATACATTTTGGTCTCTCAATTTATTATTCGCATTGCGACAATCCGCATCATTAAATAGATTCGCAGATATACTCTGGTCTCGCGACGAATCTCTCGATACTTATATACACTGGAGTCGCCGTGTCAGTTGCGAGAACGGTTACAGCGTCCCTCTTTCGGCAGAGATAAGAATTGTCACGTAAACTGCGGGTATAAAGGCGGAAATGTTAAATGTGGCAGCGAGAAGACAGTATTTTATGGGCAATTTACTATACTCACTTTTTGAGAACTATACGCCATCATATTTATTAGACTTTTTTGAATTTAAAGAACACAGCGAAACAATATACAATAGGCTTCTAGAAAGGAAACATGTGTTACAAATTCCTCAACATCGAACTTGTAAAATGCAAAAATCATTCATTGTTAGAGGAGCGAGATTGTGGAATAAGTTACCAATTTCGATTAGAGAAGCTTCAAATCAGTTTCAATTTAAGAAACTTCTTTTCCATTTTCTTTTTAAATGTGAGAATCAATTTTTCGACATCACATACTGGTAAAATAACATGTTTTTTTCTTCCTTTTCTAATACTCTGGGCTTTTCTCTTTTTAGTAAGTTTTGATAAATTTTTCGTACACACTTGACTCTTTGAAGTTAATTTAAAATAATAAAGAAAATTCTAATTAAAAATACTTAATTATTGTTATAATGTTGTATGAAATTATGCTTGTTAAATTTTTCATTTTATATGTATTAGATGATAGAAGGATATATATGTATATATGCAAATTTGAGTGCAGCACTATTGTTAAAATAATAAAAAAAAATGAAATATATGTAATTGTTCCTTGAAGGGCTATGTAGCCCTAGGAACTTGTATTAAATAAATAAAAATAAAAAAATAAATAAATAATAAGGCCGTCGGTAAAGCGATTTAGCAGTTTACGTGACAATTCTTATCTCTGCCGCAAGAGGGACGCTGTAACCGTTCTCGCAACTGACACGGCGACTCCAGTGTATATAAGTATCGAGAGATTCGTCGCAAGACCAGAGTATATCTGCGAATCTGTTTAATGACGCGGATATCTCTCGCCTATCATTGATTTTTTAATGATAGAATTTTTTTGCAGAATGCTATTTCCTAATAGCTGCTGCATTTTTAAATAATTATAATTTATAAATAATAAATGAATTATTATTTACATGAATTATTAAAAATAAATAATTAAACAAATAAATATTTTAAACAAAAATTATAAACATTAATTTTTTATTATTATTATTTAAATAAAAAAATTTATTTAAAAAAATTTTTTCTCTTGGTTGCCAAGATTCGGCCAATATTGGACCAATATTAACAACCGATGCTTGGCGAACCCGTTACATCCCAAGCATCAGCCCATATTGGTCCAATATTGGGAGTCAATCGGCGCCCAGCACGGCAACCAATATTGGACCGATATTGGACCGATTAAAGTCTATTGGCAATTTCTCACTGGGAAAATTTTGTAAAAATAAGAAATAAATAACTGAAAAGTAAATATTATCTTTTTTCAAAAAATTTATATTGATAAACATTTAATAAACTTTTTTTATTGTCTCTTTCAAATAAATGTAATAAAACAATGTTGGCAAAGAGCGTTGTGAACAATTTTTCTATAATTAGCAAGTACTTGACGCCGAGGCTTGTCTGAGCTTTGTAAAAACAAAAATTCGAAGTTTGGCTTGACTACACTGTCATTTCCCATTGAGTATTATGATATTAAAAATTACATTATAAACCTATAATTTTTTTAGGTCTAGTAATTTTTTTCTCTCTAAATTTAAGATTCTTGTTTCAATTCTATTAAATCTTAATTTAAAATATAATATTGAAGATATTAAAACTATGAATAATGATGTATGAGAAATTTCTCGAACACCCCCAAAATTTAATTTTAGGGGCAAAAAACCGTTTTTTGTGTATTTATGAAAAGAATTACTCGTAACTTCCGTAATTTTCAACCGATTTTTAAAATTGTTCTTTTGTTTGAAAGAGAGAAAGTACACCTTTTTAACCGTCTATTGCTCGTTTAGTCAAAATATAAATTAAAAAAACCGCGGTTGCAAATATTTGTGACTTATCGTTTTTCATTCCATTTTTTCAACTTTACTGAGGTTTTTAGAATAGTATTCAAATTTAAAGATTTTTTTCATAATTATTTCTTAAAAGTATACTTAATTCTGCGTAAAATGACCATTTTTTGAAAAAATTTTAGTACAAATTTACATCAGGGCACTTTAAATTTTGTTTTCACTAAATTTAATTGAATAACTAAAACAGCATGCATGTCAAACTTCTTTTGATAGATTTACACAAAGACTGTGTCCGTATTTAGAGGGGGGTCCGGTTAAATTTTAACTTTTCTATATTTATATTGTTTAAGTGTGTCAATGTTTTTCAAACATTATTGAGGATTTAAATATATTCTATAATCTTCAAATAAAGAATAACAGATAATTATTTGACAATTTATATAAGAATGCCTTAAAATTTCGTAAAATATAAATTTGAATTCTACCACATTATTGAATTATTATTTTTTATTGTCGAACTTTTCATATGCTTTTTTCTCAATACTGAACAATTGTATTAATCTTAATAACATAGAATAGATTTGAATCCTAAATAATGTTTGAAAAACTTTGACACACAATTAAAAAAATATAAATATAGAAAAGTTAAAATTTAATCAGACCCCCCTCCTAAATACGGACTCAATCATTATTTTAATCTAAAAAAACAGTTTGACATGCATGCCTGTTTAGTTAATCAATTAAATTTAGTGAAAACAAAATTTAAAGTGCCATGATGTAAATTACACAACAAATTAGAAATTTTTGAAAATTTAGCGAAAAAATTTTAAAATCTTAAAATTTACGTATCTCCCTCAATTTATATTAAAATTTTTAAAAAAAATGCTAATTTTACGCAGAACTAAGTATACTTTTAAGAAATTATTATGAAAAAAATCTTTAAATTCGAATACTATTCTAAAAAACTCGTTAAATTTGAAAAAATAAAATGAAAATCAATAAATCACAAATATTTGCAACCGCGGTTTTTTTAATTTATATTTTGACTAAACGGGCAATAGACGGTTAAAAAGGTGTACTTTTCCTATTTCAAACAAAAGAACAATTTTGAAAATCGGTTGAAAATTACGGAAGTTTCGAGTGATTCTTTACATGAATCCACAAAAAACGGTTTTTTGCCCCTAAAATTAAATTTTGGGGGTGTTTGGGAAATTTCAAACATACTACTTTTTTCAGTTTTTCAACACGAACAAGTTAGGATAGGTCCGATTTAAAGTGCCATTTTACTGTCACACAATCACACAAAAAAAAAAGTTTTACTTTCAGCCTGTTTTCGAGGCTGAATTTAAGGTGTAAACGGAGTCAGCCCCATTAAACAAGGACAGACTTATGTGAAATACATGGGCTGAATTTAAGGTGTAAACGGAGTCAGCCTTTTTTTTTCCTGTGATAATAAGATCAAAATCTTCATTTTTTTAAATTTGTCGACCATGAAATTTGCACCTAAAATTTTGAGGTATCACTATTTAAATGATCAATGAAAGAAATTTCGCTTCAACTGACTTTGTGAAAGTGGTAAAGATCGTTTATCAATATTCATTTCATTAAAATTGACAGAAATTCGAAATTTATTAAAATATATTTAAAAAAAAAATTTTTGTTATATGAGGAG